GCTCCTCTACCTCTTGAGCACCAGAGAGTAAGGGTAGCATTAGCATTGTAAGTAAACATTAGCTTTTCTTTTTTCTTTCTTTTTCAGTAAGAGGTTTTTATTTAATAGAATTTTTGGACAAAAAAATCACAATATATTGCAATATATCGCCTTGCTTACAGTATCGCAATATATCGGGATATATTGTATCGTGACCCCTCTGTTATGATATGTATCGTATCGCCAAATTCTTGCCAATACACAGCCCTAGTTTCAGGTGTGTCTGAGGATGAGCGGCGTTGGTGTTGTTAATAGTGAACTGGATCTCGTCTTGTGATGTATACAGTCAGTCAGGCTGATAAAGTGACAGAATTAAATGATGACTCAGGACACTCTTGGGGCTTTTTTTATTTGTGTTTATGAAAAAGCAGAACTCATCTTTTTAATCAACAATACTTGGAAACAAGCTGGTACGTGCTGTGATAAGTCACTGTTMTAATTTCTTCCGTACTTTTTAAAAAATTCATTACACACCTCTGGTTTCCGGGTCGTGGGTGAGTCGGTGCGTGTCTTCGGCAGTCACTGAGCCAGAGGTGGGGACACCTGGACAGGTCTCCAGTCCATCACAGGGACACCTGGACATGTCTCAGTCCATCACAGGGACACCTGGACAGGTCTCCAGTCCATCACAGGGACACAGAGACAAAGAGACAGACAACCCTCTCACTCCCACCTAGGAATAACTTGCCACTCAATCTAACATGTCTGTTTATAGGCCGGCATACTTGGAGAAAACCCACRCATGCACAGGAAGCAAACCTGTAACCTTCTTGCTGTGAGGCCACAGCTTTAACTACTGCACCACCATTATTATTTATTGCACATTTAAGAGAAGACAAACAGAACTGTTGTTATAAACAATTCAAAAGATGTAGAAACAGAAAAAAATCATTCCAGTTTTAAACTCCGTTTGATGACATTTCTTTCTTTTTAATCTACTTCTGAACATTTTCTGTATTTCCCCAGGTTTTAAGTGCCCTGTCTGCTTGAAGTATGTGTCTTCAGATGAGATGGATCTTCACCTGGTTTTGTGTTTAACCAAACCCAGAGTCACGTACAATGGTAGGTCAGCCTGTTCCTGTTTCATTTGAACTTTTACAGCTGTTGTGTGCTGGATGCAGTTAACTACAGTCTACAGTGGAACAACTAGCCAATGAAAAGGTTCTAGACAGAGACTGTGCTTCATTAATCAGCCTGCACCACCTTTAAACGACCAATACAATAACTGTCTGCTGTGGACAGCATTAGGAAGTACAACATTTCCCTCTGTGCACATCAGAACCAGCCTGGGAGAGGAGTTAATTCTCCTTTAAGGGCATTTTGACAGAAACATGAAGAACACTGCACTGGACCCACTGTCCTCCAWTGACAGTGACACTGCCCCACCTCTGGAGCGTACAGGAAGTGAGACTTCTATTAACCTCAGGAAAACAGCTGTTGACACAAAAACACAGAGTTTTGATGAGCTGCACATCCATCACTCAGACTGCAGAGAACAAAAACTTGTCATTGTTAAAGTGTGACACTAAATAAGATGGATCACAGCGTATATTTTATTAAAGAGGTATGGCTAAAGTGTTATAAGCTTTATAATTAAACAGTTATTAATAAACAGTTATTAATGGCACAATGATCTGCTTATTACATAATACTGTAAGAAAATATCAATACAATGAAATATCGCGATATTTCATTTCCCGATACTTTATTGATATTCTAAAGCCCTGTATCAATTTTTTTATTAAGGTTTAAAATGTCAACTTTCCTGCCAGCTGTTCATTTTTATATTGTAGTTCAGCCTCT